ATCATGTTCTGGGGCTGTATCCCTCTGTAGAGACTGAATAGATGCTGTGCTGACAGAAGTAGCTGAGGTTTTTGGTGAATGGAAGGCATTGATGAGGTGACTCAGAGGAACTGTAACCTGGTAGAAATTAAAGATGAATTTAATCAATCACACAAACAGAATATAATGCCATATATAAATACTGAAGAGAAAATTCATGTATCTAAATACATCCCCATCTCAGATACTGTATAAAATGATGATCTTGTACAGTGCCTTCCAAGTTAAGTTCTCAAAATGCTTTTTGAACTTTGCCTCTAAGGCACAAGGGGTAGATATCTCCATTTTACAGATGGAGACACAGAGTTAGCAATCATCAGACAGAAAGCAAGCAAGACAGATTAAGTCACACAGGTAGTCTACCAAAGTAGGAAGCAGAACCCAGGTCGCCCAATGTACAAGATAACGTGTTAGATACTCAAACAGAGTTGTGGGGACAAACAATCAACTTTTAAGCAAAGTATGGACAGCCTCAATTTGCACTTAAGCTACCCACTAGCCTTCTGTTAACTAAATATTCTCTTCTCATAAAATTTATCTTTTTATAAATTTCTTAATAACAATAGCAGATAAAGAAATTATTAGCTGTTGCAAAAGGAATAACGTTTTGCCACTTTTATTGTGCTCCTGTCATTTGTTTGTTGTGTTAGTGATCAATGTTAGTGTGAGGTGCCATTGCAACCTCACCTGGGAGAGAATTGCCTAGGTATTATTGAAGTGCACTTATAAGACATCAAAGAGGCCTTTCCAAGAAAAATGTTGACTTCTGATGTATTTTTGCAACTCTATTTACATCTTGTCAAGTATCAGAGGGGTAGCCGTGTTAGTCTGAATCTGTAAAAAGCAACAGAGGGTCCTGTGGCACCTTTGAGACTAACAGAAGTATTGGGAGCATAAGCTTTCGTGGGTAAGAACCTCACTTCTTGCATCTGAAGAAGTGAGGTTCTTACCCACGAAAGCTT